TGAGTGCCTGCATATAAATTTCAAATATCAATAAACTTATCCTCATTTGTTCAGAGTGAGTAGTCCTTCATAATGCTCAGGATGTTTTCCCTTCATGCACCATTTGAATCATTTTTGAAGAATGATGGCATTGTTGAGAAGCACTGGCGAACCTCAGATCATTTAGCCGTAAGAGAGTGTTGATTGCAAGCCAAAAATATGCAATTTTCAATACACTTCAAAACAATATTTTTTTTTCTTATCAAAAAACATACAAAGCTCAACCTGCTTACTGTATAATTAATGATATGTCTTCCATACCTTTCAAAAAGTGTTGGCAGACACGAAAAAAAAGGAAAGTCTGAGATTTACGAATAAAGCTGTGAGGATTGCGATAAAAAGTATGTTGGTGAAACCAAGAGTACTATAACAACTCGCTACAAAGAAGTTGTTCCATATATTTGATTCCGTAGACCAGAGACGTCTAGTGTCGCTCAACATACCATATAGGACATCCACAGAATACGTGAGGAATGCTTGAAATTGTTAAGACCAGTCAACAAGTTTTTAGATGCCTTGGAAAGTGTAGAAATCGAAAAATATGGAATGAGATCTACGAGCCGCGAAAAAAGTCATATTCCAAACAGCCAGTTGATTAGACTCTCTCGTAATTAGAGGTAGAAAACAGATAAATATTAGGTATCAATTCTCAAATTATGTGAGTTAATGATTCCTCCAGATGCATTTGAAATCATTAATATGTTCTTGTTCTAATGTGGGAAAAATGTTTTCAATACTCTTTTAATGCCAGAGGTTCCACATTCTAGTTAGTCCGTTGGTCATGTAGTGCTGGTAAAAATTTTCAACTTTTTTTACACTTGATGCCAAACATAGCACTATAAACATTTGTAAATGTTGGGCTGATATTCAACTTTTATATCATTCACAAATAGTATTAAAAATAAAGGACCTAATGTTGATCCTTGAGGTACTTCAACTCCACTTATTAGCTATACCTATCTCAAATTCATAAGTGATTCAAGAAGAGTTTGGTCATTATAATTAAAAGCCCTCTTGAGATCAATACATTTAATAAAGGAAAGTAGTTAATTCACAACTTGCTGGAAATGTAGATTTTGTATTCGCGAAGCCCTACTGATGAGTTGGAATAAGTCAATGGTTTGATTTAGGTTAAACTTAGGCAAATGGCTACTAAAAAGGATACAGCTGTTATCCAAAAATTTGGAATGTTACTTATAATAAGATTTCTGTTGTCAAAGAATGGTTTTCGAAGCTGGTTGTATTTCCGTTCAACTTTCAATATTTCTTCACTAGCTTTTTCATTTATGTTGTCAATTTCATTTTGACAAATATCAATGTCTTCCAGAGCCTTCTGAGTGGCCGCATCAAATTCTGCACTTCTGTCAGATTCTGAGAACCTTTTAATTTTTCTTGACGAGCAGTCTCCTGACATTTTGCAGTTTAATGTAGAAAAATATTAAAAACAATCAACTAAATGAGTTCAAACCCAAACGCCGAAAACAAGTCAACAAGAGAGCGCTACACCACAGAAAAGCACATGCGCATATGCCAAAGAATGATTTGAATGTTCCCGCTCCCTCAAATTATATTAGATCCTGGAGTGTGTTCCTATTCTATCCACAGATATAAAATTCAATACTGATCACTAGATATTATTTTATTTCCATTATTCCATGCCATTACACTGATTCGTGAAAACCTCATACTTAGTCATGAGCACGTTTAATAACAATATGATGAATATATGAAACCAAAGTGATCTGATATGCCCAGCATGCCCAACTACTGTTCTTTAAAGCAGTATGCCCAACTTGAAAAACAAAAAAACCGGAGCGTGCCTCGACCAAAAACGGATGCTACAGCGCGGATCCACTGCTATTGGGTAGTTTCGGAAGTTTTGTCCGTTTCTATGAGTCTACTGGAATATCTCAGTTGATACTTATTCAGTTTGATTGAAATAGGCGACATTTGAATCAGTGCATTTTTGCCAACGTAACACAAGTCGGATAATTCCGTCATCATAAAATTGTTTGCTCGGGATTCAATGAAGTCGACGAAGGCCGTTTTTGTCTGGTCCTGATTGGACCGGTTCTACCGGTGGAAAAGTTATCGAAGTGATTGAAAAGATGGTAGTCGGTTGGCGAGAGGTCTGGAGAGTATAGTGGACGAGGCAGAATTTCGACGCTCAATTCGTTCAATTTACGGACGGAGATTTGTGAAACGTGTGGACGAGCGTTGTCATGGAGCAGGATTCTTTTGACCAGCACCCTAATTTTTGGTACATTTCGACGATTCCACAATAGGACTCTGTTGTGATGGTTTAGCACGATTTCAGAAAGTAATAGTGAATCACAACAGCCGCTGACCACCATACAGTAGCGATGGTCTACATAAAAAATTATTTTTTTTCAATACATATTTCTGATTTCATTATTTGAAGATTCGATTCTTGTGGTGATTAGATAATGGATGATTTTGATATATTCGTCAGAAGCACACTGTTCCATTGAAAAAGTGGTTGATTAGTGGAGCAACCACCTGAAGCTTGGTTCGTAACGAGATGCGGTTTCATGTTGCCAAACTATCCGATCCTGAAGCGTGACTGAGCTTGGTAAGTGTATGAGGATTGCCAGTTGTTCCGTGTATTTATCGAAATTTTCCTCGCATCTACCAATTGAAATATGTTTAAAATCGGAAATAAAAAACAACTCCTTTGATTTGATTCAATGACGTAGTTAACTAATTGGTAATTTGAGAGTACGAACAGGGCTCAAAGTGATTCCGACATTTGACATAAGTCACAGAATAGCAGAGTTCTTCTATACCGACTTGGCAATCTGTTTCTTTACTTGAAGTATGCGTGATGCGTTGAAAGTAATTTTATGTAGTAATAAAATGTAATCCCAAAAAAAAACAAAAATGGGACGATCAAAATTTCCTGGAAAACCTTCTAAACATATACACCGAAAGAGGGTTAATGTTCTTCCACCAACAGGGGAAATATCTAACGTTGAATCTTCTAGCTCTGTGACAGTTGATTCTGTTGTAGAAAACAAACAGGTAAACATTTCATATTTTGATTATTATCTTTCTGAGATTCATTAGTTTCTGGTTGTTCTTCCCATTCCTAAAATAATATTTTGTCTTAGGATGAAGATGTTAATGAAAGTGATGGAGAAAGTCCACATACTAACAATTCTCTAAAGAAAAAAATTGCAATGAGCAGAAGGCTGTCCAGAAAAATAAAACCATCATTACGGAATAAAAATGTAACTAAAAGGAATCTACTGTCTAAAATGTGCAGCAAGTCTCCTGTAAAACCCAAACTAAACAAAGGAACAAGAACAACATTAACACGGAAATCTGTACATAGTTATTCAGTAACTTGTAGGAGTAAAGTTTCAAAGGAGTCCACTAACTTAGTGGGAAAATTTGTCTTGCCAACTCGAAGTGTACATTCTTCTCGAGTAATAAAACCAAATAAACGATTTATAAGTGACTTGAATGAGGGTATAACTTTGAAGAAAAAAGTCAGCATTACCAAAAGGCATTGTGTCAAACAGGAAGAAGACAAATTGAAAATCAAGACAATATGTATTGAAAGTGGTAGCTTTAATAATGATAGTGATAAAACCACTTTTACAAATGGACATAGAGTTGTTTTAAGACAAGCGAGGCTTAAATTACCAAACCAAATAGGATTGCAGGGCCCTTTTTCTACAAAATCTAATACTTCTTCCTCTGGTACAGTAACTTGTGGTGTTTGTGGGGCTGTTAGGTTCTACCGTTTTGTTAAACAAGCTCGGAAATTCAATATTTATAGTTGCGAATCATGCAGGAAGTTTATAGCAAAGATGATAAAACGACAGGCTTGTGGAGGTAAAAATACTCAAACAGCTCTTATTTGTAATAAGGGACAAGGTTCATGCCACATTCCACCAGTTATCAGAAATCAGCAATGGAAACTAAATAAATGTGCTTATCGGGCACGATGTCCAGCTTGCTGGTTGAAAATGTGCCTTCGATCATTTCACATGCCGCCAACATTGAAGCAAGGTTTAATGTTGATGTTGCCAAAAAACATGCAAGGTTCAGATATTGTTTTTAGCAATTCTCTTCCTCCTCTGTTATGGCAAGTTAATGTGGAGCCAAAATTATTAATAGATAAACCTCAAGAAACAACGACCTTGAAACAACGACCTGTGAGGTTCAAAAATCCCAAGAGTCAAGCAATACCTGCCCTTCCTGTTTCGAATTCAGATATCAAAAGGCAAAAAATAGATCTTAAAGGACCTCGTGTGAAACATGTATGTCGTAGTGCTTCAATAGTATTAGGACAGCCAATAGCTACCTTCACGGAAAGTGAAAAGAAATGTGATACTCAAGATCAACCTCTGATTGATATTAAAATTGTTGAAGATAAAGTGGTGAATGAAAAAGATTCTCTAGAAGGAAAACAAACTGTTTTGATCAAGTGTGACACAATTTCTAGTGAACCTGAATCTAATTGCAGTGACCGAGTATCTAAAATATCCAGTTCTGTTAGTGATTATTCTGAAACAATCACTAGGAGAGATAAATTGTATAGAAACACCTATCTTGCTTTGCAGAACTGTTTGGAGGTGAGTCATTTCTACCTATTTTATATATTTTTGGTGATTCTAATTTTTATTAATAGGGGCCATTGTCAAAGTAGTTGAAATCTTTGTAAAAAATTAAATATAACATAGAGCAATTTTTTTGGCAAGTATGTTATTTCCGTAGTTTTATTATTATAGCACTATTGAAAAATAATAGCCAAAAATATATTACATTACATGTTTTTTTTTCTCAAATACAGATGTCATTTGAATGACAATTTTTCCTGAAAATAATGAATGTAAAAAATTTAAAATCTATCATTCACACTAGATATATATTTCTGAAATAAAATTATCTACATAACTATAGAACTAAAAGTGTAAAATATACATACTTCACAAATTAAGAGACTCAAGTAAAATATTTAATATTACTTTCTGTTTCTATAAACAATAAAACAAATTTACTCAATTTGCTTTAATTTTTTCTTCAAAATATTTGAAATATTCCACTTCTGGAGGTATTTCCATCGATATTTGATGAAACTGGAGTCCATTAATACTGGCACAAAAACTATACACCAGTTTATAAACAATTTTAAAACTTTTCTTCTCATGGAACACATATTTACATACCTTTTAATCAAATTGAGTACTGTGGAATCATATAATAAGGTCTTGGATTCAGATAATCTATTTATTTTGATAGTCAACCATATGAGAAATGCCATTGTAGAAAACTTATATGTCGAGTATTAAGTAATGATTAACAATTCTTTCATCACCAGTTTCTTATGGAAAATGTTTCATCACTCACAAAATTAACCAAATGTTTTTGTGATTAGTATTTGCCTGCAGCTTCGTTTCCCTTGACTTCAGTTTTTATACTTATTATTTGTTTGATGTGATTCTTTGAACTGAAATAACTTTTTTATCAATGAATCGATTGAAATAAATCAAACACTAAATAATGTTGAATGAAGCTTACACAATATATTAGTGAAAAACACTCCCAAATCAGATGAGCTGTTTTTGAAATTAGCACAGATACCCAAACAAAAAATCTAAAAATAATTGTTTTGGGTTCTATTGCTTTATCAAAGCCCCAGTCATATTTTTTTTTAATTACTTTCATGTACAGACAGCAATCAGACACTTCATTGTATGTATTAATTTTTAGCATCCTACTGATACAACAAATAAAATAAAGTCATGAATCAAAATAGTTTTTACTTGTTTGGATATGATTAGATATACTTTCCACTGCCAAACATAAGGTCAGATAGCTGATCTGCGTGAAAATAATCATCAGCTGTTATCATCTCCCGTTGATGCCAAAACGGTGACTTGAGCTTGTGTTTTAAAAGCTCATTTTGCAGATTTGGGGTTGTGGAAAGTGAAACATTGAGAGAGATCCAAATAGTTTTTTTTGTTATTTGAATTTGGTTAGTTGTCCTTTTGCTCTTTTCCTACATGATGCCCGCAGGGTCTCCATGTTAGTTTCGTTTTTTGGAAAGTGGTTTCCTAAGTCTGATGGTCTCTCTTTATAGGTTTCACTTTTGTAGTTTCATACAGCCAGCCGTCAGTTTGAGGTATTGTATAGTATGTTCTGAGGGTGACACATTTTGTTAATACTCCTTAGTGTAATTGTATTAGCTGTTTGGAGATTATTCAATGCAGGATTACACCAACTTGAATAAATTATGTGTGCATATTTGAGAAGTGGACGGCAGATCATTTTATATATTTTAGTTGCAGTTTTAGTGTTGATTCCTCTGTTCAAGTTGATTTTGTGGTCAATGTCGACTTCCAAGTATTTTACTGATTGCCTGCTTCTTACCATTTCGTTGTTGATGTTTATTGTAGGTAGCTTCTCTGAAGAGTTGCGATAGAAAATGATAAATTGTGATTTTTCTGGGTTTGGTCTAAATTGCTGTTTATTGAACCAGAGTGTTCTTCTGTCGACGAGGCTTTGCAATTCCTCTAGTGTGATTGCTAGCGAGCTGTTGTGTGAAACTGAGGCAGTGTCATCTGTATACCATAAGATGTAAAGGTTTTCATTAAATTCATTCTTGTCTTCCAAGTTGTGATTGTATATATAGTGGCAGTATATATTATAGCGAAGTGGAGATATGGAGAGTCTTGTGGAACTCCTTGTTGGGGAACAAATTTTTGGGAGAATGAATTTCTGACTTTGATGGTGAGGGATCTCCTTGATACTAATATCATCATAAACAAATAATAATTATTGAGATATTAAATAATAATCAAAATCAGAATGTGCTTTATTGCCATTATTAATGTTCCCGTTGTCAAAACCTATTAAAGAAATATATAACATGTGAGTGCCTGCATATAAATTTCAAGTTCTTGCCAGTGCAGGATACTAGAAATCCTGAGCTATTATGACTTTCCATTATTTCATCAAGTGTTGATTTAAAAGTTATCAAATTTGTTTTTCTGATGTTGAAATTCAATTTGTTGAGAGTCACATCAGTTCTTGAGGGTCTTTATTATTTACCATTGATGATTACCAAAGTTAGATAATTTGAATTTATACTGCCGCAATATGATGATGTCATCATTTCGTGGTATCACCAAATATTGCAAATTCTTTCACTTTACTGCTATTAGTTACATCATTCATTTATATTAAATATAATGTTAATCTCACAACTGATCTCTGAGGTTTCAAAAAGTTGGGTAAACTGGAATATCTTTGAAACATATTAATTTGAATTTTTATCTATTTCAGACCAAAGCACCTGAAAGAAAAATGAATCTCACAGAATCCCAAAATGGCATTAATATTAATTTTTGGGATGGATATGATCCCGAAAGTATTTGTCAAAATGGATTCTGCATTATAGGATCTGAACAATTTTCCATGTCGGCTATTTGCTTTCTTTGTGGAAGTGCAGGAAAAGAAACCATGTTATATTGCTCTATGTGTTGTGAACCATACCATTCGTTTTGTCTAGAACAGACGCAGACAGTGCCTACCGATGGCAATTTGAAACAATATACATGGATATGTCCTAGATGTACAGTTTGTAATGCGTGTAGTCAGATTGATAGACTCAAAGTAAGCTGCCAAAAATGTTTAAAGGCCTATCATCCTGAGTGTGCCAAGTGGAATTGTGAAGAAAAACCAACGGTGAGTAGAAAATAATTGAAAAATCCATAACTTCGAATAAACTCAAAAAAATGTTGAAAAATATATTGTCAGAATCTAATCAATCAGTCAATCAAGATATGCCTTATCTGAAGAACATTGTTCTGATACCAATCATGACTAACATGACAATTTCATTCCCAGTATAATACTATTTACAGACATTCATTTTACAATATCATGATGGTTTCCAGAAGCTGAAGGAATTCAATATCTACTCGCCAACTTTGTGTTTTCTTTTCGACTTCGATTAGCTAAATCATAATAAATCAATAGTGGTGGAACATTAATCACAAATCGCAATACAATTATCAGGCTAGTGAATGTATAATTAATGTGTGAAAAATGAGAATCAAAACTTTCTATGCAAACATGTAAACACGTAAACAAAATTCTGGTAATAAAGTCATTAAGGACCATCTGTTATTACCGACAGTGGTTGTATAGGTATATACAGGTGTACATTGTTAATTATTTCAGTTTATTATATTCGTTTGAAAATGTCCTTGTAGGACGAAATTGCAGTAACGTTACTTACAAATAGTGGTATAAAAACATAGGAAGTTTTAATTTTAATTTTTCATGATGATCTCCTACCATGTAGTAACGGCTACATGCATCAATTGATTACAAATAATATATTTTCAAATTGAGTGTTTATCATATGAACTTTTTGTTGTCTAGTTAAATAATTAGATAGCTTGATTTGGAATGTTAATATTAATTTTCAATGCATGATTTTGTAGATGATGGAATGTGCAAAATGTACAAAATGGGTACATGCAAAGTGTGAACATCTGACCGAGGAGCAATACCAGATATTGAGTGTTCTGCCAGAATCAGTGGAGTATATATGCTCGTCCTGTTGCAAAAAACCCTCACCTTATTGGCGAAAAGCTGTTAACACTGAATTGAGATCGTGTCTGAATAAAGTTTTGAGGCTTCTCAGTAAAAATAAAACAGCTCGGAATTTGTTGAAGTGGAGCCCACTCAACAATGCAGTGCCATCTAGCAAAACTGCGATAAATGTGAGAAAGTTGACTTTTTCTGATGAGGATATGGATCTTGATAACAATAATTATTATAGTAGAGACATTTCTGAGGCCAGTAAAATTTACTCTTTTGAAGAAAATGAAAAGTATGAAGTTCCTCTCAACAAGCTAACAAATACTCTATCAATGGTGGATATAAAAAACAAACTAAATGCCAATGAATACTCTTCGGTCAAGGAATTCAACGAAGAAATAGAAGAATCTTTGAAATCAACGAAATCTGAGCAGCTATTGAAAATATATAAAAACATATTCCATGACGTTTTTCCGTGGTATGAAAATTCTCAAAATGAGGAAGAACCCAAAAATATCAATGATATATCCATTGATGACCAGAATACGGCTTTGTCACAGAAGAACGTGCATATTAATGTTACATCATCATTTTCTGATACAAGATCATGTAGTTTTTGTAAGGGTCTTGGAGATGGTCTGGCACATCAAGAATCCAGGCTGTTATATTGTGGTCAAAACGAATGGGTACATGCTAACTGTGCCCTCTGGTCTTCAGAAGTATATGAAGAAATTGATGGTTCCTTACAAAATGTCCAGAATGCTCTGAATAGAGGTCGTTTGATAAGATGTGCTCAGTGTAAGCAGAAGGGTGCAAGTGTGGGATGCTGTTACAAGGGATGCCATGAAACGTTTCACTTTATTTGTGCTCGTATGGCAAAACTTAATTTTATGCATGACAAGACCGTTTTTTGTTCTAGTCATGAGATACCTAAGAACAGCCATGTAATAACTGTGAACATTGATTTTGAAATCCACCGTTCTGTTTATGTGGAGCTAGATCAGAAAAAACGAAAATATGCTAATATAGATAAGGCGACTGTTATGATTGGATCTTTGTGTGTGAAGAATTTGGGAAAGATTGAACCTATTATATCTGATAGTGCTGAAGCTATTATTCCTATGGGTTTCGTTTGTACCAGACTTTATTGGTCCACAGTGGAACCTTGGAAATTAGTTCCTTATACCATCACAACATCAATACAAAATCATAATAATTATACACTCACGGTGGATAGGAATTTCACCATTGATCATACTCTGAAGAAAACGGCTGTTGATAAGATCTTGAAGGAAGTGAATGCCTGGCAACGTGATGTTGATAAAAAAGTATCAGATGTAGAATCAGAAGATGATGAAGAACAACAAAATGGTGCTGATATTCTGTCCCCTGAATTAACAGATGCAATTTTAGAAGAATTACCACATGATCTTCTCGACGGAATTTCGGTTCAAGATATTTTTCCAAAATTCACCTATGATGATCTGATAAGTATTGATTACAAAACTGATTTGAGTAATTTAGAGAGTCTAGCTGACAGTTGCAAAAAATCTGAATTGGAAGACGACTCTGATTTAGAACTCAAAAATAAAGATTTTAAAAGGGTTAGACCTGACATCAACAAATTTGATTCATTGTCAAAATCACGATCTTGTAGTCTGACTTTAAGCTGTAAACTAGACAATTCTTTGTCTCCTGCTGTGAAAAAGCGGAAAATAGCAGCAGCCAGAGAAAATAACGTAATTTATCAGATTTTACAAGTGGATGGAAATTTTGATGAAAGTAGTTCTAGTGAGTGTGGATCCCCTACTGGAGTTGAAACAAATCCTTGGGGGACTTACCATTCCGAGGAACCTGTGACCTGTGATAAATGCCAGTCTACTTACCGAACTCAAGCAAGCTATAAACGCCACCTGGAATCATGTGAAATGTTATGTACCAGTGAGAGTGATTCAGAAATGAATGCTGATCAAGAAATGATTGCAACTTTTGTGAATCCTACATCTAATTTTGTTGATAATCAAGTAATGGTTGATATTAATGAACCAGTGGTTATATCATCTTTTGAATCATACCAAAGTGAAATACATACTTCAGTCGTTAATACTCAAAACTTTGTTGCTTCTAAATCGACTTCAGAAGTTGTAGCTGTTCCGTCAGTTCCTGAGGTTGTTATTCAAAGTATTCCACAGCCAGTTGATCAAAAACCTTTAATACAGAGTATACCAGTGAATACTGTAACTCCTATTACTTTGGAAACTTCACAGACTGATCAAACCTATACCATAAGTCAGCCAACAATGATTGGCGATTCATCTATTTCAATTCATGCAACTCAGCCTCAGTTTTGTGTGAATCAAAATATACCACTATGTGTCAACCAACCCATGTCTTTGCAGCAAAATAGTATTCAAGTTAATCCCACATCAAATTATGCAGGAAACCAGGTATTGTCTATAAATCCTTCTGGATCTATTTCTATAAATCAGGTTCCACCCAACAGTTCCATAGCAATGAATCAAATAAATCAGCCGACAATACCACAACCCCTGGATTTTCATCAAGCACAGTCAGTAACTATCCAGTCAGTTCCTTACAATAATACGATTTTAAATGTAGGATCTCAAAACCAATTTGCTTTGAACAGCAAGTTGATAACAAACCCAGTATTGCATACCATGAATGTACCAAGTACCCAGTGGATGAAACAGGTGTCTAAACCTACAGTGATAACCCACAAAGCTCTGAAATCTAAAGGCCGAAGTAGAACAATTGCAGCTAAACGTCAAACACCATTTGAAGATGGAGACACCATTATTCTTCCAGCACAAAGCACATCTGGACAAGTAATAGTACAGCACCTTCCGTCCACGAATTATGTTCCAGCATTTGTTGATCCATTTCAACAGCAGGGACAGAATTTGCAATATGTTGCCACTATTACCCCTCAGTGTAACGGTGTACCCACCCAGTCTTTAGTACAAATACAACCTGATAATAATATTATCAGCTTAGTACCTGGTTTACAGCAAACAATGTATATACAACAACCTAGGGTAGAAAATCAGCTAGTTGTAGACAGTAATGGTGCACTTGGTTGGTCTCAGCAACAAACTGTCCAACCAGTGTACTATGGATTTGAAACAATTGTCCAAAATACTGTTATGCAATCCCAACAGTTCCTACCGACAACTATGCCAGGTGTCTTGACAGCAAATAGCAGCTACTCAACAACCACACAAGTATTTCAAACCAGTAAATTAGAGCCAGTATTGGATGTATCCTCGAATAGTTTTGTATTAGTTAATCCCGGACAGCTAGTGAATTCACAACCAATAGTGAATAGTCAGAACATTATCAACTCTCAACCTATTGTGAATTCACAACCAATTGTCAACTCACAGCCAATAGTAAATCCACAGCATTTGGTGAACTCACAGCCTATTGCAACCACACATTTAGTATCCTCTCAACCAGTGGTCAATTCTCATTCCATAGTTTGCCCACAACCTATAGTCAACTCACAGTCAATTATTAACCCACAGCCTATGGTTAGTTCTCAGTCAGTAATTAGCTCACAACCAATTGAGGTTCATCAGTATTCCCAAGCCACCCCAGTGAACGTGATCAATAATGTTATTCCGCATAGGCAGATTGAGATGAAAGTGCCTAGACCTCCCATCGAAATAAAACCATCACGACCTCCATTTGAAATGAAACCGTCACGACCTCCTGTTGAAATAAAACCATCACGACCTCCGGTTGAAATAAAACCATCACGAACTCCAGTCGAAATAAAACCATCACGAACCCCTATTGAAATAAAACCATCACAGCCTCAGCGCATGAAATACTTGCAACCAGTACCAACTCACAAACAAATTATTCCAGTTACTTCAGCTCACAGCATCACACTTCCCACTGCACCATTTGTATCCGAACAAGGTATTCCTACAAATATTGTTACTCCAATTCCTAAACCTCCCTTCTCTTGCCAAAGTCGGCCAATGAGTAGGGTACTTCCTATGCCTACAAATAACTCGATAAAAGAGTCTAAAAAAATAAGCTGTGAAGATGACAAGTTCTTTATGGAGGAGAAGAAGGAACCTATTGAGGTAATTGAAGTTGACGAAATCAAACCTCCCATTAAACAATTCACAAAAGCTTTTATTACTGAAATTGAGCCCAAAAAGTTGGAGATAGTGGAATCTGAAATCGAAAAACCAGTTTTGAGGACAAACGTACCGCCAGCAGTATTCCCAAAAACTGAAAAGGAAGATAAAACAGATGGTTTCAAACCAAGTGAATCTTTGGCACCTTCGAAACAACCAGAAAAACTAGAACAAGTCAAGGAAGAAATATTACCCGAAAAAAAGGTAGCTGTAGTACATAAGTCTATGGAAATGGAAATATCAATTCCCGAAGATACCAAATTAGATACTTCTTTGAAATTAGTGTTTCAAAAACAAGGTCAAGATGGAACCTATATAATTAGTAATAATTTCACTGCCAAACAACCTATTCAGGTAGCCCCATTGAAACCAATCAAATCACACCATTTTACACAGGATTCTGTTGGTCAAACACAAGCGAAAAAACAGGTTAAGGATAAGGTAGAAGAGAAAATGGAAAAGAAAGTGGAAGAGAAAATGGAACCGAAAACAGAACATTTGGATATACCAAAGACCCAACCAGTGAAAAAAGAAAATGAAAATTCTTCTTCAATTTTATATACAATGGAGACCCAGGACGGTTTCAAATATTCCTCGTCATCAGTTTCTGATCTTTGGTCTAAGGTGTTAGATGCCGTTCAGACTGCTAGAGCAGCTCACAACATGCCACCTCTACCCACTAACAGTGCTGGTATCATGAACTCTGTTCATGTCTTAGGCTTCAAATCGAATGGATTGAAATATTTGATAGAACAGTTGCCGGGAGCCACCAAATGTTCTAAGTACAAGTCAGTTTTTAAATTTCCACCACATCCTAATGATATTGATGATGAGTATCGCCAGGATCACATATACGGTACCATAAGATGTGCACCTTATGAAAATCACAATAGCGAGCCATATGATATGTTTGGCTGGCTATCTTCCAAGCATCGTCAACCTGAAGAAATTTCTCTGGACACGCTAGAGCTCCTTCCGAGGTAACAATTATGAGGGTATATATCATTTTCAAAATACAAATTATTTTTGTCTTTCAGACGTGTAGTGAATTTACCAATGGCCATGAAATTTAGGCAACTGAAGTTAACCTCAAAATATTCTGTTGGGGTGTACAGATCTTGTATTCATGGAAGAGGACTATTTTGTCTCAGAGATATCGAAGCAGGTGAAATGGTTATCGAATATGCTGGAGAGGTAAATGATAATTATATAATATTCATTATACAATTAAAAATATTATCAGCTGCACGCAATTAAATGATACGCTGTGATTAACCCATTGTGGTTAATTGAAGAAAATAGAAATATGAATAAATTCATGCTATTTTCTGTCTCTTGTTGTACACAATTTTTGTTATTAATTATATCATGGACATAAAATAATTAATGTACTCAGCAAACCAGTAAGTTGATTTGCTATTCAAATATTGATTACAAAAATATTCATTGTATCAGAAAAAAAATACTTAGACCTAACAACACGTTTCTGAGAGGAAACCACTGATCTTGATTCTGATCTCTGAAAGAAAGAATTTTTTCTTGTAACACATAAAATATGAACACTTGGCAATGTGAAAAAGAAAAAGTAATGTAATTGTAACACGAACAATTAGGTTAAGTTTCGAAGTTAGCTTCGAAGTTGTTTCAGAAAGAGATGCTTTTTTATTGTTTTTCGAAAGATGAAATGTTTCGATTCGAGTATTTAAGTAAGGTTCTAGTTTTTTCAGAAATACAAAATTACAAATTCTGAAGGCGTAATGGCTTAACTGAATTCATTTTGATGAAATGGCGTGTCGAAGAGGTATTTTCTAAAGAATTTTTTTGTAATATTGCACACTTGCATATTTTGCGACCATATTTGAAAAATAAATTATTGAAGATTAACGTTGAAATCACATTTGCAGATGAGAGAAAATATTTAAAATTTTCCTATTTTTACAGAAATACTCAATGGATTTGCTCTACCTTGATATTGAAAATCAAGTTGTCTAAACTATTTTCACAAGTGTGTTCGACAAAAATGTTATAAAGCTTTTAATATTCGACATCATGTTCCGTACTTCTAGATATATATGTAAATTACAAAAAACGAATAAAAATATCCATTCTTATATCTGTCTGTGCAATGTGATACTTTATTTCTAAAATATTATAGGTGATACGGTCTATCTTGACTGACAAAAGAGAAAAATACTACAATTCTAAAGGTATCGGGTGTTACATGTTTCGTGTTGACGATAATTTTGTTGTCGATGCCACTATGAAAGGAAATGCAGCTAGATTCATCAATCACTCCTGTGACGTGAGTAAATTATATAGTATTATAATTTAAGCTTGAAGTGCAGTAAAATTGTTTTGTTAGATTTCTACTTGCATGTGAAAGCAGTTAGTACATCCTTTGGGCGCAACTATCTGATTGAATACCACCTCTCTGAATAATTTTGTTTTCTACTTGTATTTCATTGAAAAAATAAAGACATACTATATTATATTATTTGATCTGAACATGACCATGCTGTATATTCTTGTCCATGTCATATACCTCATCATCCCTTTTACATGTAACTTTATTTTAGCACATAGGCCAATTTCCATTTCATTTTACAGTTTATGTAAATATCCTCACGTAATTAATAACATCATTTAAAAAGTAATGGAGTAGAGTACTTTATTTGATATATTACATTAATGGCAAGTCACGAATACAGAAATCCTTGTTCGGAGTTACAAAGATAAAATCATCATCCAAAAAAATAATAGAAGTAAAGAGTGTAGATTAATAAAAAGCATACATATAAAAGAGTTAGGTTAATTAAGAGCACAAATATAAAACCAATTAAATGATATTTTAATGAGGTCTTTCTCAAGTTAAAGACGCTGCCACATAATATATTCCTCAGTGTTATGAAAACAGTGTAGGAGAGGAAACTTTTTAATAGTAGATTTAGGTTTTGCAAGGATTAGCGACTTCAGAGACGACTGAAGATGATTAAACAAATGTCAGTTCAGTGAATTTCCCTAATTAATTGTTAATTTATGTCTGGGCAAGTTCAATAAACTTGCGGATCTTGTTCCATATGCATGATTATCACAATGTCTGTCAAATTTATTAACGTTTTCATGAATCTTTAGTAGAATTTTATAGATATATAACGTTGGAAGTGGCATAATGCCAAATTGAATAATATAAGGATGACAATGCTCTTATTATTCTTATGGCCTCTTTCTTTTGCAAAGTGTAACTCTCCAACTATATCAAATATCAAAATCCTCTGAGAAATCGATGTATGAATCAATCTATAACTTGTTTTCTGGGAAACTGCTGATGTAGTTTTAATAAAGTTAGTTATAGTTGATTTTCCTTCAGTGAAGCCATGTTGTCGACTAATAATGATGACTTGGAAGTCATAGGAACATGTTAATAAAGTTCTGTTTTAATCATTTTTATTTGACATGTAAGAATATGCATCATAGAGAATTTTGAGAGGAAGTGTCTTGAAAACTATCCATTTTATTACTCTGTCAATTGGACATTTTCAATCAGCTTACTGAGATTTATCTTTGTTAAAACTAAGACAGGGTTCTTTGTCACAAAATTTAATGGTTTTTATCAGTATGACTTAACTGACTATAATTTCGAATGTTTCAGCCAAACTGCTACTCAAGGGTAGTGGAAATACTCGGACATAAGCATATAATAATTTTTGCACTGCGCAGGATACTGAGTGGGGAAGAATTAACATATGATTATAAGTTTCCTTTTGAAGAGGACAAAATTCCATGTACATGTGGATCTCGAAAATGTCGAAAATTTTTGAATTGATTCCTACGGAAACAAATCAGTATCTGTATAATTGTACATTTTCTGTGTATTTATATTGTATATATCTCAGATTTTTTTAAATGTATGTATCTCTCCTTCCTCATGTAGCACCTATAATAGCCATTAAAGATTTTAACATTCTTGAAATAAATGTAGGTTTTGTAAAGTCAGTATTTGAAATTTTTAAAGCATTTGGCTGTGAGGATATATATGCATTTGTGCCATTGGCTCAATAGGTGCTATATATTTGAATTGAATTTTTGATAAAACGGTTTCATGTGATATTCATAATTATTTGCGGATTTTTTTCACTTTATACACTTTCCCTTTCATGGAACAAAGTTTTTTCTTTTGACACTTTTATAACTATTTCCCTATAATGCTTCAGTCATTAATAGGTTTCTATGATATTTTATTACTGATTGCTAATAAGAGCTGGAGCTGAATTCTGCTTTCTTAACTTTTTCATATTTGGAGAAAAATCTTTGTTTTATGACCTGTATATTGTATATACAACTTTATATTAAGAGTACCAAATGATTTTTGGAAATTTGTTTCTTATGTCAAGATAATGAGCACCATTCAGATTTGGGTCTGCATTCACTGGTCAAGTTACCAAAATAAAAATAACATCATCCTATAGGGAATTTTTGAGAATCTTGGACAAATTACTTGATGAACATTTTTTTGTTAGTATTTTGTTGATATCTGTTTATAAATATTTTTTATTGATTTATTTGGCACTTCAACTTAGAGGATTGAACGGTTAGCTTACGATCCCTTTATGAAGGGATCAAATGAAATTCAATGCAGAAAGAACTTTCGTTTTTTCTTATTCTTTATTTATAAACAGAACTGGTAGTATTGATATGAATACAAAAGAATCCTTCAATCATTTGTATTTGCACTTTTGATAAAATATTTTTCCAAGCAGAAGATGAAGAGGCTCTCAACATTTTAATTTTTTAGGAAAGTACAAATACTCTCAAGTAAAAAAACTCCCTTCAAATACGAAATTTCTGACGATCAACTCCAATTTCAAACATTGTCAACTCGTTTCAAGTTTATTCAAAATTAAATGTTTTATCGTTATTTCAAGCATAAAGCCTTGAAAATGAAATGAAAAATCATTCTTTGTTCTTGACTTTCAAAAAAGATACTATGTCTTTATTAGCAACTAACGATTATTTTAGGCAAAAATTAACATGCTTTTTTGCGTGCCTTTAAAGAGTATTTGGAACTGAAAGAGGCTAAGTACTTTTTTTGAGTGAGTATTTGTTCTTCCATTTTTTTAATAAGATACATACTACTAACTATTTTTACTAGTATCAGCAATCCTCACTAGTATCTGTAATATTGGCTCATAGCATTCCAACTGTGAAATTCCAATTTTATTTTACTTTTTCAAATGCACAAAAATTGAAGCTAATAAATTGCCCCCCCTTCCACTTGGCGCCCTTCATGATTGGTTGTTGCAGGGGCATTTGCCTGACTGAATTATAGAGTTTAGTTTGCCTCTGTCCGTCCATTCCGTTCTTCAAGTGAATAAGGAAAACAAAAATTAGTTCACTGACCTCAAATTCGAATGAGATAAAATTATTTTTTTTTTGATTATATTTCAATTATAATACTCCATAAAATACTCTAATGAGTTTTTCCAAAGTTTTTACAACTCCCATAAAAAATATACATATAATTTTTTCATAATGAATTGATTTCAACCGAACATGTGCTTTTCAATGTATATAGTGCCACAATGAAAATAACAAACAGTATTTTAAAATGAATTTGAGTGTGATCTAGTGAGCTGTCAATTTTTCAGAACAGAAATGATTCGCATTCTCGAACTTGAACAAAGGTTTTATTTACTTTTGATCCATCCAAGCACTTCATTGAAGGTTTTGAAAACGACTGTTATGAGTATGTAGGAAAATAAATCTTTTTGGTATCGGATTCCAAAAAGTTGTTGAATCCTTATTTTAGTGGGCACTAATTATAATAATGATTTCAGCATTTCTAAATGATGAGGGTCATTATTAAGTACCCTTGTATAGATCTAGTCATGTAGTTTTTTTCATCTTAAGAAGATGGAAACTATGCCAACAAATTAACTAAAACTATTTTAACCAAAAGTACACACCTAAGGTTTTCTTTAACATGCCAGTTTCCTGTTCAAAATTGTACTAGTTATTCAAAATCTTCAAAATATTTCTGTAACTTAACTTTGTTAAGTCACTGAAGTATACTCAAACCAGGGCTTTTCATTGTCATGAAATTATGTTCCAGCAGCTGGACTGCATTAATATTTCTTTATTTTATATGATTTCTAGAAATATATGTGGATTTGTTTTACGATGGTGTTCCTCAAGAGCCTTTCTAATTTCTGCTTACACACTTGTCGGTTTTAATGATTGGTTAAACAACCAACGCCAACAAGCAAATTTGGATGTCACACCACTAGGTGGTTCCACTTTTCTCTCGCTTGCACGCACGCAGTGATTTTCATCAAGTATTTGTCTTGATTTTTCACAGTTTGTCTTCAATTGAGGACCGCCTGGATGGTACTGATGATGCCCAATAGTCCGAAACAGCTTTCTACCAGTGGCTCGTGATTTGGAAGCAAATTCTGAATGATCGAAATAGTACCATCTATTTATCTTTTCATTATGATGAAATTATTATCCACCAGCTAGACTCCATTAACCTTTTTTAATTCTTGTCATTTCTAAAAGCATGTGGATTTGTTTTCCAATTGCATTCCTGGAGCACTTTCCAAATTTCTGCATCTGTAATAGAGCTTGGTCAAACCACCAACGTCAACATGAAAACTTGGCTTGGATTCCACTTATATCTCGCTTGCGTTTACCAAGTGATTTTGATGAAGTACTGTTTTGGCTTTTTATAGTTTTTCTTCAATAGAGGACCGTCTGCCTGGTACTGATGATGCCCAACAGGCTGAAACAACTGTCTACCAGTGGCTCTTGAATTGAAATCAAATCGTGGATCACCGGAAAAGTACTCATCTATATATCTTTTCATCTTCATGAAATTATTTTCTAGCAGTAATTATTGGGGATGCAGAATGAGTGCTTTGCTATTTAGGTATCCTTTTGAAAATAGTTTTTCTCATCAGAGCACGTTAGTTGTCCTGAAGGAGAAAATGAACAGTTTTGAAAGCTTGACAAAATAACAAATACTTTGAAGTTGTCGCTTTTCAAGACTGTTATTTTGAGCGAAGGACTTTGTTTTGGAGAACCTATGACTGCATCCCTAATAATTATAATTTCAGCCGTTTCTCATCTCTATGGATGAATTTCTTCTTATACCATTTTATTTATGCAATCACTCAGTTTGTCTTTGATTTAAAAAATTCGCTATAGAAAAAGGTATGCACTGTACAGTAAAACCGTCAAAAAAATATTTATGTAGTTTTACGAACTATTTGAATGACAATATTAACATATCAATATTCTATTAAGAGTAGAAGTGGTTCTACAGCGTGATATGAGGCCTTGTATTGTACATACATGAACGTATGTGTTGATTTTTCTCCAGTGTCTTAAGATAATATGAACTTTAACAAAAACTAATCATACCCTACTTGGTGCTTACTACTTGTATTTTTATTTCAGCAGCTGTGCTATAAACATGTATTTACTTTTGTCAATAAAATTATTGAAATTACATTGGAGTTTTCGGATATTCAACACGTGTGTGAAAAATCACCGTTTACTAGAAAGTTACATATTTGATTATAGTGGTTATTCTGCAATAATTTATCTCTGTAACATTCAAAGAGGTCATTAAGAAGGAACCACATTTAGTTGTCAGATCTATAGTTATGAAAAAAGACAAGGAGAAATAAATATTTATAATAGTTCACTATCCATGATAATAATAGAATTTTCACAATAAATTTCATTTAAGACGTATATGTGAGTATTTTGTAGATGTTAGTGTTGTTTTTAATAGGGGCATACTTGGTCGAACAGGTCATTAACCAAGTATACCCCCACACTAAAAATAACACTAACACCTACAAAACACTCCCTCATGCAGGAATATTATCAGATTAAATGAAAATACTACTCACAAAAGAGAACATTAACATAGCATATAAAATTGGTAAATTTTTGGATAGACATATGAAGAACAACAAGTCAAAAGGAACAAAGATAAATCTGGGGTCTACATAAATGTAGATTGTGCCCAGTTCATAAAAAAAGTTTTGAACTAAAGAGATTTAAGTCCACCTATACTTGCTACTTATTAGAGAATAATCACAATTTAGTTTATTCAAAATTAAATGTTTTATCGTTATTTCAAGCATAAAGCCTTGAAAATGAAATGAAAAATCATTCTTTGTTCTTGACTTTCAAAAAAGCAACTGAAGAAATTTCTTGTTGCAAGATGTTTTTGTTCAACAGATGGGTTTTTTTTCAAAATATGTTCTATAAGAATATTGTTATCAATATTTCTGTACGGCTACGCTTGCGCTCGTCTTATGATGAAAATGCCTATTGAGAACGGCGGGTAATTTGAAAGAGCTACGAATTATACCGTTCCGCACCTTTTCAACAAACGAATCCAGCGCCCTCAGTGCGTACACGAAAGTGAAAGTGGGTTGAACTTTTTTTTGCATTCCTGTTATCATTTTTGTCGTGTATTATAATAGCTGTAAATATCATATTTTCCAATTCAAAAACACAATATTTAGTTGAAATCATGCATCTGTTTTCGAACCCTACGTAATTCGTATTGACTACTTTGGGCAATTGGAAACAGCGTCAGGCGGGTAATTGGGAACGTTTCCAATTACTCCTTGCGTTGTTGATTACCCCTACTACTACCACCGAAGTGAATTTGTTTTTTGATCAACTGAAAACAATCCTGGAAAACGAATAACCCAATTCGTGGATGGAGAACTTTTCACAAAAACGTACAAATAGCTTAATAAGTAAGGCTATCAGTGGGTTTCGAGCCGCTGATATCCATTTTATTGATCCTGACGAACTCAAAGATAAGATTGAAAATACAATATTTGATCGATATCATACCAGTCAGACTCAAAATTGCAATAATTGAATAGAACTGGCCGATACTTGATGAAAATCCATGTTAAAACTCATTAATACACTTTATTACGGAAGCGCAGAAGGGCCACATATTTTTATTATTTGTTTCTTGGAAATTATCACTTGGAATCTCGAAATTTCGACTTTAAATTCATAAAAAAAGTTTTGAACTAAAGAGATTTAAGTCCACCTATACTTGCTACTTATTAGAGAATAATCACAATTTAGACATAAACTACGACTCATTACATACAGAAAATAAAGGACAAAAATCAAACCTGGAAATCATGAATCGCAAATATTCAAGTTTTTATTGAAGACAAACAAGAAGCTATTCATTCACCATTAATAAACTCATTTCATAAAATGTCATATTTGATAACTACTATTCTGCCATATATATTCTTAAAACAACTTCAAGTTGCTCTAGTATTAATAAATCAGTTGAAAAGTTAACTAGTTTTGAGGCAACGAAAC